TCCATTATTAGACAGAACAGTGGCCCGGAGAGGAAAGACCAGAACCATCCAGAGAGCTCTTACTGTAAGCGGAGCTCGGCCCGGTTGCGGAGCCTGACTGACGGACTTTTTCATTTCTGGAAAGGTCGTGGCGACAGATGAGTCAGCGTTTGTTCTGTTTGCTGAGTCATGATATATAAATAAAATGGGTTAGGCCTACGCCAAGGTGGAAAGACATCAGCAATGACCTCAGAGAAGCAGATGGTGTCAATCTGTGCAGGGTCAAAGGTCATTTAGAGTCCACCAGTCTACAGAGAGGAACGTTCTTCACAAGAGGAGAACATTTCAGACTGCTGATTCACCCTGAAGGTCAGACCATGCAGTGGATCCACAGGTCTCAGTCAGCAGGTCAAAGGTCATGACCTCTTCTTACTGGAAACGTCATACCAACACAAAAAGTTTCATCTGAAAGAACCAAAAGACTCCTGGATCAGAACCAGACCAGAGGACAGCTGTTTACCCAGAATGCACTGCAGCAGACGCTCCTCCCAGCTGTCAGCACGGTGGTGGAAGACTGATGGTTTGGGCTTGTTTTGCTGGTTTGTTGAAACTTCAGATGTTTTTTCATCTGTTACTTTTTTAGGATCCATGTGAAGGATGTTCTCAGAAAGAGACGTTCCCCTGGGACCGGTCCTCGGTCCCCTTTCAACGCTGAAAATGAATCGGAGCGATGTGCAGAAGTCCTGATCCAGTCCTTGTGTCTTTATATGTTCCTTCCAAAAACCCAGACTTGGTTCTGATGTTTGAAAGAGGTCTGGGTCATCAGTTCTCTTGAAGGTGTTCAGATGTTTTCTTTGGATTTGAGCTGCTTTTTCAGAGAAATGTTGTTAATTGACGTCATTCAGGCCGAAAAAGGTCCGAACATAAAGACGACTTGAACTTGTTGTAAATTTGAGGATTTTTGTTTCCGTTTATTTTGTTAAACCGATGAAGAAAACCAATAATCACAGTTTGACAGATGAAAAACAGTATTTAAAGTAACGCTGCCGTCATCTAAAGAACCAGTTTCCATCCACAGATTTATTTTAGTTTTTACTTTTATTCTTTGTTTACATTTTATTTTAAAGTATCTTTTGTTAAAGTATCTTTTGTTAAAAGTATCTTTTGTTAAAGTATCTTTTGTTAAAGTATCTTTTATTAAAGTATCTTTTATTAAAGTATCTTTTGTTAAAGTATCTTTTATTAAAGTATATTTTGTTAAAGTATCTTTTATTAAAGTATCTTTTATTAAAGTATCTTTTATTAAAGTATCTTTTGTTAAAGTATCTTTTGTTAAAGTATATTTTATTAAAGTGTCTTTTATTAAAGTATCTTTTGTTAAAGTATCTTTTATTAAAGTATCTTTTATTAAAGTATCTTTTGTTAAAGTATCTTTTATTAAAGTATATTTTGTTAAAGTATCTTTTATTAAAGTATCTTTTGTTAAAGTATATTTTATTAAAGTATATTTTATTAAAGTATATTTTGTTAAAGTATCTTTTATTAAAGTATCTTTTATTAAAGTATATTTTGTTAAAGTATCTTTTGTTAAAGTATATTTTATTAAAGTGTCTTTTATTAAAGTGTCTTTTATTAAATTTTCTTTTATTAAAGTATCTTTTATTAAAGTATCTTTTATTAAAGTGTATTTTATTAAAGTATCTTTTATTAAAGTATATTTTATTAAAGTGTATTTTATTAAAGTATATTTTATTTTATTATTATTAAAGTATCTTTTATTAAAGTATCTTTTATTAAAGTGTATTTTATTAAAGTATCTTTTATTAAAGTATCTTTTATTATAGTATCTTTTATTAAAGTGTATTTTATTAAAGTATCTTTTATTAAAGTATCTTTTATTAAAGTGTATTTTATTAAAGTGTATTTTATTAAAGTATCTTTTATTAAAGTATCTTTTATTAAAGTATCTTTTATTAATGTATCTTTTATTAAAGTATCTTTTATTAATGTATCTTTTATTAAAGTATCTTTTATTAAAGTATCTTTTATTAAAGTGTATTTTATTAAAGTATCTTTTATTAAAGTATCTTTTATTAAAGTATCTTTTATTAAAGTATCTTTTATTAAAGTATCTTTTATTAAAGTGTATTTTATTAAAGTATCTTTTATTAAAGTATATTTTGTTAAAGTATCTTTTGTTAAAGTATCTTTTGTTAAAGTATATTTTATTAAAGTGTCTTTTATTAAAGTGTATTTTATTAAAGTATCTTTTATTAAAGTATATTTTATTAAAGTATCTTTTATTAAAGTATCTTTTATTAAAGTGTCTTTTATTAAAGTGTATTTTATTAAAGTATCTTTTATTAAAGTATATTTTATTAAAGTATATTTTATTAAAGTATCTTTTATTAAAGTGTCTTTTATTAAAGTGTATTTTATTAAAGTGTATTTTATTAAAGTATATTTTATTAAAGTATCTTTTATTAAAGTATCTTTTATTAATGTATCTTTTATTAAAGTATCTTTTATTAATGTATCTTTTATTAAAGTATCTTTTATTAAAGTATCTTTTATTAAAGTATCTTTTATTAAAGTGTATTTTATTAAAGTATCTTTTATTAAAGTATCTTTTATTAAAGTATATTTTATTAAAGTGTCTTTTATTAAAGTGTATTTTATTAAAGTATCTTTTATTAAAGTATCTTTTATTAAAGTATCTTTTATTAAAGTGTATTTTATTAAAGTGTATTTTATTAAAGTGTATTTTATTAAAGTATCTTTTATTAAAGTGTATTTTATTAAAGTATCTTTTATTAAAGTATCTTTTATTCTCTTTTATTTATCTTTTACCCTGACACGTCCTCTCTTCCTGCCTGGGGTCAGCTGGAGGTCATACTGTTGGTTCTGGACGGGTTGGGTCCATCAGAGCTCATGGAAGTAGTCCGGGTAAAGAAGACCCGCATGACGGGTGACTATGTCTTTGACTCCTCCCTCCAGCTGAGGTGCTTCGGTCCGGTTCTGTTTGAGCCCGTGAGCGGTCTCAGCAACAGGTTTTACTGATCCATTCAGTTCTGCCTGAGCACCAGCAGACCCTGAACATCAGAACCTTAACATCAGAACCTGAACATCAGGACCAGAACCTGAACGTTAGACCCTGAACATCAGACCCTGAACATCAGGACCAGAACCTGAACGTTAGACCCTGAACATCAGACCCTGAACATCAGGACCAGAACCTGAACGTTAGACCCTGAACATCAGACCCTGAACATCAGACCCTGAACATCAGGACCTGAACGTCAGACCCTGAACATCAGACCCTGAACCCAGCTCTGGACCAGGAGGCCGTTTATCGTACGCCTCTAATCTGAGGCGATAACAAGTCCGAAGCTCAGGGATGGAACCTGTCCAGGTGTCCCTGATGGACTGAGACCTGTCCAGGTGTCTCTGTGATGGACTGAGACCTGTCCAGGTGTCCCTGTGATGGACTGAGACCTGTCCAGGTGTCTCTGATGGACTGAGACCTGATGGACTGAGACCTGTCCAGGTGTCCCTGTGATGGACTGAGACCTGTCCAGGTGTCTCTGTAATGGACTGAGATCTGTCCAGGTGTCTCTGATGGACTGAGACCTGATGGACTGAGACCTGTCCAGGTGTCCCTGTGATGGACTGAGACTTGTCCAGGTGTCTCTGTAATGGACTGAGATCTGTCCAGGTGTCTCTGTAATGGACTGAGATCTGTCCAGGTGTCTCTGTAATGGACTGAGACCTGTCCAGGTGTCCCCCGCCTCTCACACAGTGACTGCTGGACACGGGCACCAGTGACCCAGAAAGGAAGAAGTGAGTAAAGACGATGGATGGCTCATGGAATATTTTGCTAACAGGTAACGTTGACTCCAATAGTTAAAGCCAAAGGTGACTTGAAGTTCATGTTGGGACACTCACACGCAGCCTTGGCTGTTGTTGAGGCAGAACCTCGGATGTGGGAGGAGTTCGGTGAGACCTTGGATGAAGACTCTCTGTCGGCTCCGAGGAGATTCTGACAAACCATCAGGTGAGGATGAGGAGCAGCTCTTTACTAACACTGTTCAGTGAAGGTGGTGCTGCTGACCTCAACCAGTGATGTCATCGGGAGGTGGAAGAAATACTTCTCAGACCTTCTCAGTCCCACCAGCACGTCTTCCATGGAGGAAGATGAGTCGGGGGTCTTCAGGGTTGGTCTGTCCAGAACCGTGGCCGAGGTCACCGAGGTTGAAAAGCTCCGAGGCAGCAGGTCTCCGGGGTGGATGAGATCCTCCCCGATCTCCTTAAATCTCTGGATGTTGTGGAGCTGTCTTGGTTGACACACCTTTGCAACATCACATGAACATCTGGGGCAGACTGGTGGTTCCCATCGTCAAAAGAGGGACCGGAGGGTGTGCTCCAATCACAGAGGCCATCACGCTCCTTAAGGTCTGTTCAGGGGTTCTGGAGAAGAGAGTCCGATCGTTGGTCCAACCTCAGATCCAGGAGGAACAATGCAGGTTCCGTCCTAGTTGTGGAACAGTGGACCAGCTCTTTACCCTCACTAGGGTCCTCAAGGCGTCATGGAAGTTTGCCCATTCAGTCTACATGTGTTTTGTGGACTTGGATCAGGTACTGGACCATGTTCGTCCAGGTACACTGTGGGGGCCCGTAGCTGCAGGTTGTTGGCTCCGCCCTTTAATTCAGGCCGGCGCTGAACATCCAGCAACGCTCGTTTAGAGTTTATTTTGTTCTTGAAGTCGGGTCCACCTCTGTGCTATGAAGAACTTCGAGACCTTCTGGTTCATCCAACCTTTATTTCTGCAGGTTCGTCTCATTGATCCTCGAGTGACGACGACAAATGATCGTGTTACGATATTTTTGGACTGGTCCTTTGGTTTTGATCTGCTCAGAAACGGGATTATAATGAAATTATGACCCGGTTCTGACTGGGTTAAACTGGGCCAGCCCAAAAATATCGTAACAATCATAAAACGTGTACAAATTGAAAATAAGTGAAAATAAAATGGTATATAAAAATGTAACATAAAAACATCTAGGTTGTAAGGCGGTGTAGGTTTTCACAGGAACGTTACAGATGTTTGAAGCCACTTAGAGAGGTCAAGGTCGGGTCAAGGTCAAGGTTGTAAAATCTATAGAAATAAACGTTAAATGTTCTGAAGAGTCCGGTGTTTGTCTCCGCAGAACCTGATGGCCAAAGCGTTGTACGACAACGTGCCCGAGTCCCCCGAGGAGCTGGCCTTCCGTAAGGGGGACATCCTGACGGTGATGGAGCAGAACACCGGGGGCCTGGAGGGCTGGTGGCTCTGCTCGCTGCACGGCCGCCAGGGCATCGCTCCGGGAAACCGCCTCAAGCTGCTGATCGGACCCGCCTTCGAGGCCCAGGCGTCCGCCGCGCCCACCGCCGCCCCGTCTCCTCCTCAGAGCTACCACCAGAACGCCGGCCCGCGGGCCCAGAGCCCATTCCAGAACCAGCAGGGCATCTACCAGGTCCCACCGAGGAGCGTCGCTGCTGAGAACACGCCCAACAAGGTGAGACGGGTCCTGCAGCCGCCGCTAACGAGCTGCTCTTTAATTGGCTTTTTGATTAATTCAGTCCGTGGAGGAGACATGACCTCCTCCCAGAGCTGGTCTTCACCTGGTTCTGATCGGAGCGAGAGACCGGACCGGCTGATTGTTGCTCCGTGGGGGGATCAGCTGCTGAGCTGATGAGGAGAACTGCTGAAGGTGTTCAGTCCGGTTCAAACGCTTCGTTTCTTCACGTCCTCTTTAACGGTTCTTCTGTTTCCTGGGGGGACTCGGGAGCAGGTTTCGGGTTCTTCGGGGGTTTTGGTGTCTCAGGATCAGAATCGGATCCTGCTGTTCGTTACATTGGTGAGGTTCTGATAATCCTAAATATCAAGGGGGAAATTAAAAAGCAAAAGTTCAGGACTTGAGGATAAATTGTCTGGCCTAAGGGGGGGGCCACTTATTTTTTAAGATGGCCAGTCCCCCCCAGTCCCCCCCTTGGTGGCGCCCCTGCTTCGTGCCCCACCAGCCAGATGTGATAGCAGCTAAAGACGTGCAGCTTCAGCCCTCACAGGGATGTGTGAGCATCAACCTTTAGCTCTGTCCTCCTCGTCCTCCGGCAGCTCCACGCTCCGACACGAGCCGAAAACGTTCTTCAGCCGTGTCACTTCGGCTCCTCGGACGAGCCGAGGCCTTCAGGAGACGGATGGAATCGGGCGAAGGAGCTTTCACGTCCCGAGAGGTTTTTACTCCGATCTGCTCCGAGCGGCTGATGACTGCGCTCAGGTGGGTCAGGAGGTGAGCCGGCCTGAAGGACCTGTCAATCATCCCAGGAGGTTCAGAGGAGGAGCCGTGGTAACGAGACCAGTTAAACGAGCCGAGGACTCGGTTCTGGTCTCAGATTAAATGAAGAATGGATCTAACCGGACCTTGTTACAGTTTGTTGACTCATCCTGAACGGTTCCCGTCTTTCTGTCATCGTGAGTCTGGTTCTGGTTAGAATCCAGACCCGGTTCAGTTTTTGTTTTAGCTTGTCTGTGGTGGCCAGAGGTGGACTGATGGGTCCACACATGGATCCAGGGTGGTCTAGAACTGGCTTCACTGTGAACACAGGGACCCTGTGGACAGGGACCCTGTGGACAGGGACCCCGTGAACAGGGTCTTGGTGGTTCCTGACCGTCAGAACCAGTGAGCTTTGTGTGGTTTGGTCCATTTTCCAGTTCGGGTCAGAACCATCATGAAACCTGGACTAAAGAACTCGTTGACCTTCCAAAGGTGAGCCTTGATGTCCCTTTTTGTCTCTGTCTACTTCTGGACTTTCCCTGGAGGTTCTGGACGTCAGAACCGTCCTCTTTGGGTTCTGATGTCCAGATTATGGTGCCCAGGGATTAGATTAGCTGCTTTGATCAGGCAGGATTAGAGCTCTGTTCTCACGCTGCTCGTTAGGCTCTCCGTCTGATCGGGTTCAGCTGTTTGGACCGGTTCTGGAGCCGGCCGACGGCCTCGTGGGACTCTGGACTTAATGACCTCCATTAATGAGTTCGGCTTGTTTGTCGGCTGCTGTTTCTGAGAGCAGAGGACGCTGCAGGAGTCGGACCGACAACCTTAAGTGATCAGAACAAGCTAAATGAACAGTAGCTGAAATAAGCAGAGCATCAACTAAAATGAGCAGATAAGTAGCTAAAGCAAGCTAAATGCATGCTTAATTTAGCAAAACAGTAGCCAAAAGTTAGAGCCAGTAACACCATAGCTAAAAGCTACAAACAGCTAAAGCTAAAAGGAGCTACAGAAGACTAAAGTGGAGGCTGAGGTAGGAGCGACAGGAAACGTTCGCTTCATCTGATCAAGTGTTTTTAGTTTTTGTTCAGGAAGTGATTTAAATCAGAACGCGTCAAAGTTTCAGCTGATACGTCCAACCAGCAGCTGATTGATGATGTCACAGGGTCCGTTTCCTCCCAGAACCTCAGCCGGTCCCGGTCCGTCTTTGTCCCGTGGAGGACTCTCGAGCAGCTCCTGCCTGGGTGGGAACAGATGTTTGCTCAGCTCCTCGTGACGTCATCACTAAATATTTACCCTCGGCGCCGGGCGGACTCAGAGCGGCGAGACGAACGAGCGGAGAGGTCAGAGGTCGTTCAGAGGCCGGACCTTCAGGGAGCGGCCCGCCGGACCTCTCGGCTTCCTGTTGCCGAGTCGGTGCCGAGAACGTTTTTGGTAAAAACGCGTCGGCAGCTGAGCTGAAACAACCACAGCCGAATCCAAGCTGAACCAAGCTGTTGTCTCGTTCCTGACAAGCAGCTAAAGAGCAGCTAAAGTGTCAGAAAGTAAATGTGAAAACTCTTTAACTTTAAAAATTATAACAAAACTTTCGTCTGTCCTGAAATATAAAGTTTATTTATTTACTCCTATTTAATCCTCACTAAACAATTAGTCCTTAAATATATTTGTAACAACGAGGAGCAGATGAGGCCCGCGGGCCTTCAGGTGAACACGTGTTCCTCAGAGGTTCTGGTTCTGCTCTGGACTGAGCCACAGACTCCATCACTGTGTTGTCAGCTGAGCTCTAAACGGTTAAGAATGCCCTTTACTCACGTCTGGGTTTATTTTAGCTCCTTTAACTCGACTCGGCTGTGGCCCAACAGAACCAGCAGAACCTCGCTGCGTGATGAACACGCACGCAGGAATTCCAGCTATGAGCTCCTGAGATCATCCTGCTCGGGTCGACTGATGAGAAACACATGGAGCGCCGTTAGTCACTCCAGCTCAGATGAATGGAACTCCTTTCCATAGAAGGAGGTGCGTGTGTAGCTCCTCCCACTTCCTGTTTCTGCCACTTTCATCAGAAAAGAAACGTCAGAGTCTTCACCTGAAACGTTCTCAGGTCCAAACTGACCCACTGGACCACAGAGTGTTAGGGACTTTAGCTTCTAGATCATCTTTAGCTTCTAGTTAGCCCTTAGATACTTTTAGCTAGCCTTTTGCTGATTTTAGAGTTTAGATAATCATTTATTGATTTTAGCTAACCTGTTCCTTCTTTTAGTTTTTAGCTAGCATTTTCCTATTAACAATTTATCTTTAGCTAGTCTTTTTCAACTTTCAGCTAACCTTTTCCTCTTTTAGCTGTTGGTTAGCCTCTCCTACTTTTAGCATCCAGTAGTTTTTTTCTACTTTCAGCTAACTCTTTCCTTTTTTAGCTGTTGGTTAGCCTCTCTTACTTTTAGCCTCTAGCTAGTTTTTTCTACTTTCAGCTAACTCTTTCC